TTGGAGAATAATGTACATAGGAGCCTTTCCTGAGGAATATACTAGTGGATGAGTTTTATACAAACAGGAGATAAATGGGGAAATATCAGCAAACAAACTGATGGCAAATATTTAATATATTTAATTTTAAAGGTGATTCTAAAACAACGTAAGCGTGGGTGGAAGTATAGTATGCAAACATTTTATATTCTAACAAAGTAGCAAAAAACACAGCAAGAAGAAATGGGAGGAAAAGGAAGAAAGGGAAAATACAACAGGAGCACTGTCTATAATGAAGGTAACAGGATGTCATCTATAAGGTTAAACAGGAACAAGGGGGATTAAAACCATTATAAAAGGTATAAATACAAAGGTAACCACTAGAACAAAAATGCAAACCTTCCTAAGTTTCATCATCATAATTACAATAGCTCTTCAGAGACAATTCTCCATAACATTCTGTACATCTTATAACAGCCATCAGCCTTTGTTCAGAACTATCTTTTCAAAGATGTTTAGTACAGCAAACAGTCTTTGGTATAGCAAAGATGTTTGGTATAGCAAACAGTATAGCAAACAGCAAGACAGAGATAGAATCTCCCCCTAGGCCAGAAGGCATGTTTGTTACCTAACTAAGATAATAAAGATAATGTCTTTCTCTTGGGCAAAGTTTGGGCAGATTTTCTAACAGCTCCTTAAAGAACTCCTAAATCTGGAGCCCCTCAGCGATGACACAAACCCACTGGGTATGCAACATCACCCCATGGGACTTGGGGGTCAAGGGGAACCAATACAACCATGAAGTACGTGCTACTTTTTGTGCCGTTAGTAAGAAAATGCTTTGTCTCTGACGCAGGGAATCTTGTGTCTTCTGTCAGCATCTATGAAACTGTAGCAGGCATGCTAGTTGGGCTAAAATCTTAATAAAGGAGACACAGCTAAATAGAGAAAGAACCATAGTAATATAATGATACACACAGTAATTATGGAGTGATTTACAGGATATACTGATAAGTGAAAACAGCAAAATAGAAAGAAGTATACACAATATGCTTTAAAAATAATTATTTATTTGTTTATTTTTTGGCTGTGCTGCACGGCTTGCAGGATCTTAGTTACCCAACCAGGGTTCAAACCCGGGCCCCTGGGAGTGGAGGCACAGAGTCCTAACCACTGTACCTCCAGGGAATTCCTTACAGTATGCTTTTTATAAGAAACAGGAAATAGGACTACATACACATATGCATATACACATATATACACATAATTTTACAAAAAGCACAGGAAGGATACACAAGAATTTAATAAAATATGCTACCTACAAGGAATAGAGAATAGCTAGAAAGGAAGGGAGTGACACCTCTCTGACGATACTACTGTGTATCATATTTTGACTTCTGGAAGCATATTAACATTATAGATATTCAAACATAATTAAATCTACAAGAATGGGAACAAAGGCACCTAAAATTGAATGCAAATGGAAACAAATGAACGCCACTGTATTTCAAAGGAATAAACTACACTCAAGGGGAAAAAGAACTATAAATAAATCTTGAAATCTTTTATTTAAGTTTATTTTCAAAATATATAGTTGTACTGGAACTACTTTATGTATATTATATGATTGAGCAAATGGGTAAATGTATTAGTGTTGTTAGGAGTCCAGGTTCTCCCTTTACATAAAGGGAAATACAAATATGAAATGGGGGAGGACAAGGAAGAATTCTGTGGTTTGGATTGAAATTGGAGGTATCAGCATGACTCACACCTTCTTAAAAATATTTATCTACTTACATACCTACCTCTATTTAACTATCTAATATACCACTGAAAGGTCCTAGAAGTAACGAAATCCCAGAGACAATGAGCATATCACATGTCCAGACCTTGATTCCTAAAATACCATTTTCCTCTAAAATGGAATAGGGTAATTTGAAGAAATGGCTGATTCTGGAAGTGGGACAGGGAAGGTATAAGATAAGCCTGAAACATCTTGTTGTGTCAGAAAATGAGGACGTGCTTAAAAAAAAAAAAAAAGGGGGGAGTATGTTGAAAGGACCCAGAAACCATCTTTAAAGAAGATTCTCTGGACAAATCTGTGACAATCTAAGTGTCAAAATAAATAAGAAAAGTAACTGATAATAACCTAGTCATGAGTCTTTGCTCACAATAAGTAAATAAAATTAGAAAGAAGAATGGGCTTTTCCTTATAGTGGAATGCTGGCTGCTAAATATAGGGGGAGTGGTAGAGCTGGAAAAAATCTCAATTTTGCAATCATAAGGCAAGAATCATCAATGGATGTCGGGGCACCAACCTTCAAAAGTTCTGTCTAGAATTTTAAACAGACGTAGACTTTATGGGTAGTACACAAGTTTGTGAGAAGAAAAATAAAATGGTATTGGCGAGTAAACTATAAGAAATTTAAGCTAAGAATGACATGCTGGACAGTTCCCAGGAAAAGTTGGCAACATAGAAAAGAATGATAGACTAAAGACTGAATCAAGGGCTTGAGAGATTGTGACAAATAAATGAATTGGCCCTTGAAGAGGTTTCAGGGAAACAAGAGTCCACCTATCTTATTCTTCTCTCCATATACCCACACTTGTTACAGATAACTATATATACCAAGAAGAGCCCATAAACAGAGTACAAAGACAGTGTAACCATATATGTGTTCTTGTGACAAATATACTGCATGCCATTTTTCTTAACTCATTTAAATTTATATGGTTTTCACCCTCTCTTAGAACAATGCTAATTTTCTATGATAATCCAGATAAATTTGAAAAAACAAGAAGGGTACATAAAGAAGAGATTAACTCCAAATGTGTGGGATGTTCTTCTCATTTTAATGTTACACCATATATTTTTTAAAATCAATCTATTAGAATCTATACTTTAATTGTATTTGGTATGCAGTCAATTCAAAGAAGGGGTACGTGTGCTAGAAGACAAGGGTTATAAGTATCTGTTCAGCTGGAAAGTGGAGAGACCAAACCTAAGGAGCCCACAGTTGCTAGACAGACAGGTTTCTTTGTGCTCAACCAATGAATTCTTAAGTTCACTTCCTTCTTAGGCAGTTATAAAGAATATCATTGACTTTACTGAATATTATTAGTGTACAAAGCAATATATGTGTGTATATATGTGATAATATGTATTCATGTATTCATATTATTGTTAATAGTTCACAGTCAGTGGGTCAATTTTACAATGTCAAGTTATAGAATTTGAATGACTTAAGTAAAATGCATTAAAATCATCTACTTCCACTACCTGTTGTACTAATCATGGCTCTCTCATCCCTAAAATGCCTTATCTTTGAAATACATTTGATGTATGTGACCCAGATAAAATGAAATATAACTCAGAGTCAAAAATGGAAAAGGTTTTTAAATACTTTTAGCTGAAGAATTCTTTGTTCAGATGAAATCTTATTTTAAAAGTTTAAAAGTATACAAAATAACTAAAACTGGGAACTATTCTGGCTAAAGTGGGCAGGGGAATTCTGGAGTGCCACCTGTTTTGGGGAGACTTCCTGGCAGCCCAAGGCAGTTAGAAAACCACTGCTGCATAAGATTATAAGTAGAGTATAAATGCATGAAATTGTCACTGAATGTAAGTTCATACTAGTGAGTATTAAAAAAATATGGAATTTAAACAAACAAAAAAAGAATCTAACTCATCTACTGATGAATATGAACCAAGTAAATATACAGTCTTTTTATTAAATAGTAATTTACAAGAGAAGTATAAAAGACAGCTCATTTTGGAACTATGTTAGCTGTTCTTCCTTGTTATAAGCTGTCAACTGATACTGGCATTAGATATCTTAGATTAATATTTTTATTCTGATGTCCATATGTATATCCTAAATATCATGTGCCACTATGAAGTGATAAACAGGGATTCAAGAAATAATTTTTAATAATGAGAATAACAATGTTATTTAATTACTTCTAATCTGGACAAATATATATACTTCAATTTTTCTAACTAGTTTATTATATTCTGCTTTTAATAATTAATCTGTAATTTTTAGAATGATTTTATCATTTTTAAAAAGTCTAGGTTTCCTCAGTTTCCTTTAGCTATTGAAAGAAAAACCAAAAAGCCTTTCTAACTCTGAAACTACTATAAATAAAAATGAAGCTGCCTCTTGCTACTGTTTGCTTTGTGGGAGCAGAACAAAAGCACGTTAATAGTTAACAAAACTACAATATGATATACGAATGAAGTATTGCATTAAAAAAGTACTTAGATTGTATTTACAAAAGAATATCTATCATTAATTATTCAACGTTTGGATTTGACCAGAAACCAGAGCATGACTTTATAATGCTCTGTTTAAATGAACTACTTAATGTTGTAATGAACACTCAATATGGTGAGCTCAATGAATTTTGGACCTGGTATAATACAACAGTTCTTCCAATTTTCTGATCAATTGACAGATTTTAATGTTAAGTCAGTTGGAATTTTACTTGTTTTAAAAATGTTTACTTAAACCAAAAATTTTGCATCTCAATTATTTTATATTCTAAAACTGAATGTAGTTTAAACCAATGCATTATTCATAAAGCAAAGACATCAGGAAAAACAAAGCTGTGCACTTCTTTCAAAGCAGTTAAATTGCTAAAACATACCATATTTATGCATGCAATATTTGATTGTGTTTTTCTTAAAACACAAGCTTGTTTTTGTCAGATCAAGATTTGCCAAAAATTCTACACCAAACACTTTTCTTTATAATTAAAGCAATCATCAATCCAAGGATTGTCATCCATTTTATTTCATCTCTACATCAGAAAAAAATGTAATTTTAAAAAAATTTTAATTCCCTTGAAATGATAAGATAAATGAAAATGTAAGTGCCTTCACGTAATAACAGTAAGCTGACCCTTTGGGAAATGGTTGACTTTCTCAATACAAGGTATTCAAAGCTCATTCAAAAGTGTTCATTTAGAATGCAGATATCAAAGATGATGCAAATGTTCAAGAGAAAATTAGAACTTACCAGATGTTCTAATACAGCTTTGATGCTTCCAGATTCCCTAAAATAGAAGAATAAAAGTTTAAAATAGTTGTAAAACCCTTGTCTGCTATAATTTATGTTTCCCTCAAAAATATTTTACGAACCCTTATAATTTTTTCATATATCTTTCCTAATGTTCATAATAACATTGTTTTTAAGGACAAAACAATTTCCTTACGGAACAGGTAATTTATTTATATCTAATAGTAGTACTACCGCTAAAATTGATATTCGTCTAGTAGAAAGAATGTTTCAGACTTTTCAAAGTCAGTGGAGAACAAAAAAGAAATCAAATGTGTTATTTTACTATTTGCACAGTCTTTATTTTACATTAGCTATTTCATTAGAGTTTATGTTTTTTCAATGTTTATTATGAAAATGTTCAAACATACAGATTCTTTCCACAATCTAGAGTCTACAATTGACATTTTACTACATTTGCTTTATCAAATATCCATCCATCAGTAGGTGCATTTTTATATAAAAAATGGCCACAAAAAGAATGTTTGTGAGTACATAGTTAAATAAGTCAATCTTAAATTTTTTCATACCATTAATTTTATCAACTTAGTGCCCACTACAAATCAGAACCTAAGACTATTGTAATATTTAAAAGCAAAAAAAATCACTAATGGAAACACAAACATCAAATATCACAATATATTTTAAGTATTTAATTTCTTGCTTTTCACTTTAAAAAAGAGTGCTGATGAAACTAAAAATACAAATAACTGTGCAAGTAGCAAAGATAATTTAAATATACATTTGGTGAAATATGACAATAGTGAGATATTTTTCCTGATTTCGGTCAATGCTAATTTATTAGTGACAAATGGACTTTGACTTTTCTCACTCCAACAAGCAGCATTTGAATTCCATCATTAACATCACACCTTATTTGTTTTAACATAAAATTATATTTCTACCACATTGCAGAAAATAATTATGAAACATCCAACAACAGCACTGCATTCATGATGTTTAATCTTTTCCCCATACCTCTTTCTTTCTCTAAAGGGGCCCCAATTTTATTTCTTTTCTCTTTATTTTGTCTCGAACTTTTTTTTTTTTTTGCCAGAAATCTACTTACTTCTGTTTCCTTTGTCTTGCTATACAATCTTTTCAAATTTCCCTATCTTTTCCCTTTGCCTCTACTGCTTGAAAACTATACTCATGGCTTCCAACCTTTGCTCTCACTGCCCAGTCTGGCATCCTGGGAATAAATTCTACTGTCTACTGATTAGTACTCATCTTTAGCCATTCTCTCTTCTGCTTTCTGCTTCTGGCAATGCTATATATTCAACATTTAAAAATTTAAGGATTTCTGAAACTTATTCTCTGGATGCAGTCCTAATGAAAAATGACAGAAATAAATTGTAACAAGGTGTTAGAGAAGGCCAATAGCTACATAAATAATTATTTTACCTTTATTATTATAAAATTAATGTATTTGTTGGAGCTGGAAGTCAGATGAATCTTTAAGTTTTCACAAGGAAATTCTCATATAACCATTTGTGCAATTTAAAATTTAAACAAAAAGAATAATACATATAGTGAGACATCTGACAGTGTAATATGTATGTATGTGTATGTATACAGGTTACAACAAAATTAAATCTTCCTCCCATCAGTGACTCCCAATTCCCAGTCACCGGTATTAGTTATTTGTTTGTCTTTCCAAAGATAGTCTATGCATGTGTGTGCATGCTGCTGTGTGTGTGTGTGTGTTTCTCTTCTTCTTCTTTTTTTTAACCCAAACAGAAGCATAATATACACACTGTTTTGTACCTGAACTTGGCAATCTATCTTGGAGCCAAGTATATTTATACTATATAATACACATCTACTTAATTTTTCTCCCATGGCTACATTGTCACATCATGGTTCTTATTAGAAAATAATGCTGCAATATAAAAGAACAAAAATGCTCAGATTCAAAGTACAAGTCCATAATTCATTATCTGAAATCACTGGGGTTAGACATGCTTCATTAGAGTATTTTGGATTTTAAGAAAGGTAATAAGGTACATATAGTGTATGTCATAAAACACTGAGAGCAAGGCTTGAAGAAGCATCTCATCATCATACATATTAATAATTCTGAAAGAAACATATGAATGTCCACACAAAGTGGGATAAACAAAGACTATAAACAGCCTCATCGCAGGGTAGGTTTTGCTGTCAACTGACTTAGTCACAAACTTAGGGAAAATTTCCCAGTTTTCTGAGTTATTTGCATTTTGGAATCAAGGATAAGAAAAAGAAAGGAAGGAAGGAAGGAAGGAAGGAAGGGAGGAAGGGAGGGAGGGAGGGAGGGAGGAAGGGGGAGAGAGGAAGTGGGGAGAACAGGGTGGGGGAGAAAGCGGGAGAGGGAGAATGGGAGGGAGGAAGGAAAGGTTGGCTAGGTATTGCTTTGTTATGTTTCCAAGTGATTCTTTAAATTAAATAATTCTAGGAAATATGCATTTTGAATGGCATGCCTGAAAGAAAACTAGACATCAACATTGACACTTGCCCCTTTCCTTTGCTACCAAACGTAAACAAATGTAATCAACCACAAGGTCTTGGCTATCCAACATCCTTAATTATCACTTAGATTTAACCACTTCTTTCTATCTTCACAGCTATGTCTTATTTTAGGCCATCATCTTTTCTCTCCCTGATGACTGCAAAGCTTCTTAATGGGTCTCAGTGACCCTGCCTTGCCCCATGTCAATTCATTCTCCATAATACATTTAAGATCTTTGTAAAATGTAAGCTTGATTATGTCAATTCCCTTCTTAAACTCCACAATATACTATTACACTCCAGTTTACTAATTCCCTCTGTTATTTTGCCAAAGCTATTATCACATGGAAAGTGGCAGCAACAGCCGTAACAAACTACTAACCTTGCTTTAATCATCACTGAACCACTCACTCTCTCTACCTGAGATGTTCCTTTTGTCCCAGACTTCTCTAATCCTCCTCATCTATCTAAAATATAAAAACATTCTTCAGAACTCAACCTAAACAAAACCTCCACTGGGGAAACCTCTTTTCCTCATAAATGAGGTACTGAACTCTCCCCATGTGTTCACATCATGAAGTTCTCACACTTTATTATAAATACGTATTTACTTTCCCATTGACAACCACTAAAATGAAAACTCCTTGAGGACATGAATTACATCTTTCTAATTTTTATATCCCAGCATCTAATAGAGTGCCTGAATCAGAGTATGTATTCAACTAATAAGAGTCTGACATCTAACCATCATTAAGACAAGCTTAGATAGAGAGTCAGTAGCAACCATCCCAGGTCTCTGGGTGGTCCTACCCAGCTCCATACCACTCAAAGAAGGCAACTGCAACAGTGAGCTGCTGTTTGGAAGAACAGTTTTGGGAGCTGTGTGTATGTGTGTGGTAGGTGGTAGGTGGTTGTTTCGCTTTGTTTTGTTTTGGGTTGTTTTTGATAAAGTAGGAAGACACAATGGAAAAGTGGTTGACTGAGGCCAGAGTAGAACAATTAACCTGGAGGAGCACAAGCCAGAGCCTAGACTTTCACCCTTCTCCTTAGACTAAAATTAATAGCCAAGGCAGCTGAATGTTGCAAGAAAATAAAAGAGAAACCCACAAGGAAAATTTTAAGATCTTTGAGGTGTGTAGGCACAGGAACAGAAAACAACAAAGAAAGCAACCTCATCCAGAGAAAACAGATGGAGCAAGAATATAATAACATATTCAAAGATAAGGGAAGATTTTTAGAGATTAAATATGAAAAACAGTTATGAAAAAGAATAAATATGAGATAATGAGTATTAGAAATACAATAGTTAGAAACTCAGCGGATGAACTGAAAGCACAATAGCTACAGACCAAGAATAAATTAGTGAGCTGGAACACGGGGTAGAAGAACTCTCCCAGAAGGCATAGGAAAGGTATGAAAGACAGAAAAAACAAGAGATAAAATTAAGAACAGGAGTAGAAGTATGAACATCTATATAATAAGAATCCTAGAGGGAATGCAGAGACAAAATAAAAGAGAAGAATTATTTGAAGAAATAATGACAAAAATTTCCTAGATATAGAAATATTCAAATCTTAGATTGAAAAGGTACACAGAGCAGTGAACAGGACAGCTAAAGAAAAATCCACAGCAAAGCATAATATAAGGATAATTAAGACTGTAATATTATAGATCAAGAGAAAAGTCTAAAAGTTTCCAGAAAGAAAAAGCATACCCCTCCATAAAGGAAGACTAGCACTGACATCAGACTTCTTAGCACTAATGCTAGACGACGGCATATTAACTTCCAAGAGAAAGTGTTTAAAAAAGAAAAAGAACTGTAAACCTAGAATTTATATTTAGTGAATAAACTGTTATTTACATTAAAGGAAAAATAAAGCAATTTTCAGCATACATAATCTCAGGAAATTCAAAAGTTCTTAGGAATGTAATGCAATAAGAAGAGAAATAAAATCAGGAAGAAGCAAGAATATAAAGCAAGTAAAGGCTGGCATAGTACATAGTAATTACTGTAATCTTAGTAATCAGTGACTAAAAAGAAAACTAAAGAAAGGTCACCTAACAATCTAGAATTAAAATGCCAGAGAAGGGACTTCCCTGGTGGCGCAGTGGTTAAAAATCCGCCTGCCAATGCAGGGGACAGGGGTTCGAACCCTGGTCAGGGAAGATCCCACGTGCCGCGGAGCAACTAAGCCCGTGTGTCACAACTACTGAGCCTGTGCTCTAGACCCCGCGCGCCACAGGTACTGAAGCCCGCGCACCTAGAGCCTGTGCTCCGCAACAAGAAAAGCCACTGCAATGAGAAGCCCACGCACCACAACAAAGAGTAGCCCCCTGCTCGCCTCAACTAGAGAAAGCCCGCATGCAGCAACAAAGATCCAACGCAGCCAAAAATAAACATACTAAAAAAAAATGCCACAGAAGATTCTTAGATTGGGTATGAAACAAATCTAGCAATGTGTGATTTACAAGAGACATAAAACAAAAAGGATCCAGAAAGGTTTCCAAAAA